TATGTATGTAATTATGTATTCATATATATGTGTGCATATATATATATATATATATATATATATATATATATATATATATATATTATTTATTTATTTATTTATTTATTTATTTATTTATATAGAATGAAAAGGAGAACCAGAGCTGTGGTAAACATCATTATTGTAAACGTTTCAGAGATCGTAATTCATCTCCATCATCAGTACTAGAAATAATGAACCAAAACATACAATTAGATGCAGAAACAAAAGAAAAACATAGTTCATAAAAAGAGCAACAATAAAATGGGAATAGGATCAAACAAAAATAAAATGGCAGAAACATAGTGAAAAAGGTGTGTAAGGGTGGGACATACCAACCAAGTGTGAAAAGGTGGTTATGGTGACTACACAGTAAACAACTGGATGGCTGTGTTGGCATTCAGCTTGGGTTTCATCATATGCGTATGCACGGACTCTAGGATGAGGAGGTCGAGTCTGTTAGATGTGGAAGACAGAATTTTAAAATCACTGTGAGTGAAAGGATGGTCTTCTGTTTGTGAATGATGGCGGATAGCGGAGAAAGATGGTCTGGTCAGAGGTAGGCTGGTTCTCATAGACTTACCCATGTGTTCAAGTATTCTGTGTTTGAACCATTGTGTAGATGATGCAATGTAGTTTTATGAACCATGTGTTCAAGTATTTTGTGTTTGAACCATTGTGTAGATGATGCAATGTACCTAGTTTTGCATCTAAGACAGTTAAAAATATACACAATATTTGAACATAGTTTTGAGGGCAGAAACATCTTCATTTTAAAGAAAGAGTTGATATTATGGGAGTTCACAAAAACAATGTTGAATTTAATTTGTGGGAATGAATGTTTCAGTGTCTCAATTAATTGTTTACGGATGGTGAAGCATAACCTTGCTAAATTCCTTGTCAAAATCATCCAACCCCTAGCCATTAATGAGTACACCATTGCCAACACTTTGGATTTTGTGGAAGAAATCAAACAACTTAACATTGAAGATTCCACAATAATGGCCAGCTTTGATGTGGAATCATTATTCACTAACGTGCCTCTGTCAGAAACTACACAGATTATTTCGGACACCATATCAGACGAGTCCATATTGCAGTTTGATCTAAACAAGAAACAGTTTAACTCTTTTCTAAATGTTGCCACAAGAGATTCTGTTTTCACGTTTGATAACAAATTATATAATCAAATAGATGGCGTAGCTTAGGGTTCACCACTTGGCCCAAGTTATGCAAATGCCTTCCTATGCCACCATGAATGTAACTGGTTAAATAACTGTCCAAATGATTTCAAACCAATAATCTACAAAATGTATATTGATGACATGTTCCTTTTGTTTAAACAACAGTCACACATTGGACAATTCCTGTCTTATCTAAATTACCAACACCCTAACATTAAGTTTACGTGTGAAATGGAAAAGGAATACGAACTTCCCTTTCTTGACAAACTGATATCTAAAGAAAACGGACGCCTTTCCACTACAGTTTACAGAAAACCTACTTTCACCGGTTTGGGAATAAACTTTTTAAGTTTCTCACCTATGAAATATAAAATTAACAGTATCGCCACTCTTATCAACAGAGCTTTCAACATATGTTCCACCTGGATGCAGTTTGACAAAGAAATAATATTCTTGAGAGATTACTTCAGTAACAATGGCTATCCTGACAGCGTATTTTACAAGACACTTAGATCATTCCTAGATAACAAATTATGTCCACTCACAAAAATATAAACTGCTCCCAAAGAAACCAAGTATATAAAGTTACTGTACCTTGGACATATAAGCTTCACCATCCATAAACAATTACGTGAGACACTGAAACATTCATTCCCACAAATTAAATTCAACATTGTTTTTGTGAACTCTTATAATATCAACTCTTTCTATAAAATGAAGATGTTTCTGCCCTCAAAACTATGTTCAAATATTGTGTGTATTTTTAACTGTCCTAGATGCAATACTAGGTACATTGGATCATCTACACGATGGTTCAAACATAGAATACTTGAACACATGGGTAAGTCTATGAGAACCAGCCTACCTCTGACCAGACCATCTTTCTCCGCTATCTGCCATCATTCACAAACAGAAGACCATCCTTTCACTCACAGTGATTTTAAAATTCTGCCTTCCACATTTAACAGACTCGACCTCCTCATCCTAGAGTCCGTGCATACGCATAAGATGAAACCCAAGCTGAATGCCAACACAGCCATCCAGTTGTTTACTGTGTAGTCACCATAACCACCTTTTCACACTTGGTTGGTATGTCCCACCCTTATACACCTTTTTCACTATGTTTCTGCCATTTTATTTTTGTTTGATCCTATTCCCATTTTATTGTTGCTCTTTTTATGAACTATGTTTTTCTTTTGTTTCTGCATCTAATTGTATGTTTTGGTTCATTATTTCTAGTACTGATGATGGAGATGAATTACGATCTCTGAAACGTTTACAATAAAGATGTTAACCACAGCTCTGGTTCTCCTTTTCATTCTACGACTACAGTTCCCGAGAGGAAAATCAACAACCGAAATTATATTTATATTATATATATATATATATATATATATATATATATATATATATATATATATATATATATATATATATATATATATATATATATTATATATATATATATATATATATATATATATATATTATATATATATATATATATATATATATATATATATGAATATATGTATAGATGTATATACATATATTTTTGTATATATACATATCTAAATATATATATATACATATATATATATATATATATATATATATATATATATATATATATATATATATATATATATATATACTTGTACATTTACAGGCTTTAGATTATTTGAAGCAAAAAGAATTTAAAAGAGCATTATCATCAAATGAAGTTATCACCCTGAGGGATCTTCTGCTGAACAGCTATGTTAAGCCTGTTGGTAAGTGTTTTATTTTTTTATTTTTACTTCACTTCTTCTCCTACTTCTTCCTTTTCCTCTCTTTGTCTGTCTTCTTTTCTTCTTATTCTTCATTTACCTTACTCTCCTTCTCTTATTTTCTTAATTTTCCTGTTCTTCCTCTTTTTTTCTCCTCTTCTCCCTTCACTTTCTCCTCCTCCTCCTGCTCGTTTACCTCCTCCATTTCATCCTCCTCCTTTTATTCCTCCACTTTTCCTCCTTCTCTTTTTCCTTCACTTATTCCTTTTCTTCTTCCTCTTCTCACTTTTCTTCCCTTTTCCTCTTTCTCCTGCTCCCCATCTCCCTCTTCCTCCTCTACCTGTCCCTCTGCTGTCTCAGCCTCTTCCTCCTCTTCCTTCTCCTCCCCATCATTATCATCATCATCATCATTTGCTTGCTCCTTTGCCTGCTCCTTCAGCTCCATCTCCTCATCTACATTCTCCTCCTCTTATTCCTCTTATTCCTCTTCAAGTCCTTCATCTGATCCTCTCTTTCCTCTTCCACCTTCTCCTTTTCCTTCTTCCTTTTCCCACCTCCTTTGTTTGGTATTAATTTTCCTATAACCCATCCCCCTCAGTCTCCCCCTCTTCTTTTCCCTCCTGCTTGTTTTTTAGTCCTCCCCTTTGTCTGCCTTCTTTTCCTCCTCCACTGTCACCATTTTGTATGCTTCATCTTTCTCTTTTCCCTCTCATTCTTCCCCCTCCTTCTCCTTCCTCCATCTACATCCACCACCTTCTATTTCTTCTTCACAATTTTCTTCTTCTCACCTCCTTAACCACCAAGAATTTCTATACTTTCTCTTCCTCTACCCCTCCTCCTCCTTTATCTCCTCCTATCCCTCCTCCTCCTCCACTTCCTTCACCACCTCCATGTCCTCCAACACTTTCTGTACTTCTTCCTCTGCCTCTTTCATTTCCTATTCCTCCTGTATCTCCTCTTCCACCTCCTTTTTTTCCACCACCACCTCCACTTCCTCATCCTCTTCTTACTTCTCCACCTCTTCCACCTCTTCCTCTTCCTCATCCTCCACCACCAGTATTACTTCTTGTACTTCCTCATCTTCATTCCTCCTCCTCTCTCTCCTCATCCTGCTTCTTCACCTCCTCCTTTTTTTCCACCACCACTTTCTATGCTTCCTCTGTGTCAGGTTTTGTGTTTTGCCCTGATTTGGTGGGTTTATGGAGACACAATTCTGGTTCAGCTGTTTATTGATAGGAGGGGTAGGTAGCGTGACGCGGGCTGTCTCGTGCAGTGCAGTAGTGGGCAAGGGAGACCAAAGGCGCATCAAGCGGTAATGCGCGTGTGGGGGCAAGTCCCCAGGTCTGGTCAGGGCCAAGAGCCCTGGTCAAGTGGCCTGTAGGTTTCAAGCGCTGGTCACGGGTCCCTAGCAGTGGAAAAGCGGGAAGGTAACCCTTGTTCCTCAGATCGCTCGGCATACGCTACTAACCGTCGCCCTCGACTGGGTCGTGATGGCTTTTTCTTAAAGAAGTACACCAGAGTTAGAGACACGGCGAGAGACAGGAGGCCAAACGGGGGACGGTTGTGTGACAGCAAGGGCCGTAAATATGATAAAAATTTATCACATTGAAATGACAGTGTTAATTCAATTATTTGCATGATTTTTCAATTTTTGCTTATTTTGTTGAGCGTTATGAAATGACTAAGTCAGAGTATAGCGCACGAGTAGAAAATAGAATGCTGATAGATATTCTTTAGTTTTTAGAGTCATTAGTAATTTATCAAAGTAAGAGCGAGAGTAAAAAGAAAGAGAATGGCATGGGAATTGGAAGCTAAGGGGAGGAGGAGTGGGTGGGCGGGCAGCTAAGGGAAGGATGGGAGGGAGAGTTAAAAGAGGTATGGGTGATGATGGGGGATGGAGTTAGGTATGTAGGCGGGGGCGATTGTGGGCTGCAAGCAATGAAAATAATCACCGATCTGAATGCACAAAAAAAACATTCACACTAATAATAATAAGATTACGGTAATTGCAATATTAATCAACTACTATGTGAAAACATACAAAATGGTACTTTAATTAGTACATGAAATGAATGAAACAGTGACTGGTTTGGGTCAGCTTCCCTGAGACAACTGACAGCCGAATGACAACCCTCATGGTTGTAAATGATGCTTAAACTTAAAATAGATTCCCTGAGGAATAGTGATGATGGACCCAACCGTAGAAGGGATATCATCGAACGAACTCATACGCAGAGTGCAAATTGGGTATCCCATCTTCTTGGGGAATACCAGCGATAATCTCTCACGTATAGTCTTATAAGAAGAGCGCGGCGTGGCACTTAAGCGCCTGGGCGATAGGTGTGCAGCTCGGCACATAAAGGACAACTCAACATTAATTACCTTAACGTAATTACATGTCCATACCCAGCTGGGGGTCGTCACCAAGGACCATGTAATAATGGTGAGGTGAAGTTCGTGATTAAGATAAGCGAAAATCACAAACAATATGAAATCGTAGTAGCTGTATAATATAATTAATCTCTAACACGGAGATAACTAAATAAAAAATAAATACAAATAGCTTCAATGTATTTTTGGGTCGAGCAGAGTCAGATGGCTATAAGTACCTTCTAACTGAGTAAGGTCAAAGTGAGGTCATTATCCAAATATTCGTTAAAAATACCAAGAGCTAGTATATGTAAAATTAAATGATATTGTGAAGAAACAAGTACTAGAAATTAAATAATCAAATTACCAATAAATGAACATGAATAATTAAAGAAAAAATATATCTATAAAGAAGGTGAATAGTTATCGAAATATACTTTGGAATATGCACAAATATACTATAATAATAACGTAAAATCATATTACATCTCTCATATATATTCATGCAAACTGGAAGTAAAGTACTTTTTTGTTAATCGTCATGTTATATAGATAAAGTTAAATTTCAGAAAAAAATGTGGAACATAATTCGTAATAGCACTAAGGTCATCTTTTGACAAGAGCTGACTGTGACGTGACCTGGTCAACTATATGTGAAGTGACTGCACTGAAAAAAGGTATGAGAATAACTGAATTCGATCAGTAAGAGAGGTCACTCGCGGTCAATATGTAGTTATTAAGACAAGGGTATTCTTTTAACATTTTGTTTAAAATATCATAACATAATATATTTTAACGCTAGTGGCCTGAACAGAAATATTGAAAATTTAAATATTCAAGAATATCCCACAAGTGCATTGTTAAACAAAGCCTAAAAAATGCACTTAGTAATAATCTGTGAATTGAACATCGATATGGTATCGGTTAACACAGTGAGAGAGAATGAGAATGAGAAAAAAAAGTCAAGAATATGGCAATACTTTAGAACACTAGGCACGTGGCCTAGAATGTCCCTAGAAATAGATAATAATTTAGAGAAAATACACGTTATAATTCACCCACATGAATAAAAAGATTTAAGCGTTATAAACGATTTATACTAACAAGGCTAGCATGATCGAGTTATAATAAAAAAAAAAACACGCCAAAGAAAGAAATGACTCTCGCAAGTGATAAAAATGGGAATTGATTCCCTTAAAAAGACAAAAACAGGACATTGGTAGATAAGAGAAGAAAATGCACTTTACACGGACACTTGTTCAGACATTTGAAAACAAATCACTGCACTTGTAAAAAAAAAATGCACGGCATGCACACATAGGCAAAGAAAGGGGAAAGAAAAGGAAATAATTGCCTATGGTGTACTTACAGTTTTTCGGAGGCTTGTTGTTCGTGTCATTCCGCCGCTTGCCACCAGTTGTCAGGGTTTGTGTTTCGTGCTGATTTGGTGGGTATATGGAGACACAATTCTGGTTCAGCTGTTTATTGATAGGAGGGGTAGGTAGCGCGGCGCGGGCTGTCTCGTACAGTGCAGTAGTGGGCAAGGGAGACCAAAGGCGTGTCGAGCGGTAACGCGTGTATGGGGGTGAGCCCCAAAGGGAGGTCTGGTCAGGGCCGAGTGCCCTGGTCAAGTGTCCTGTAGGTTTCGAGCGCTGGTC